GAAATTATTTTTAAATTTTAAATGGAAACTATTTTTATCCAAAGCCAAAGATAACATATGATTAATTGGTATCATTTTTAAACGGGCACTATGAGAATGCAAATCCTCCCTCATGCATAACTAATCTCCCGAACCTAACTCTATTTTTGAAAATCAAAAATATCTTTTTGATAAGTCTTAAATTCTTTTTTTGATTTTATTAAAAAGATAAACTTTTTAAGTAGCCAATCACATTTAACAAAAAAGATTGGTGGTGACTCTCTTTTTTTTTTATTTTTAAAATTTTTTGTTTAACGATCTCCAAAATCATTATAACAATTAAAAGTCAATTTGCACTATTGAGATTCTAACCAGTAGTGCAAATTACCTCTATTTTTTTTTAATGCTTATTGTAATTTGCTGTTGAAAAAAAAAATCTGATGATTGATTTGTAACTGGGAGGTTGAAAAGCTATGGGTTAGAAGTTGAGTGTATATTGAAATTGGTGGGGGAGAAAGAAGGTAGAGACTAGCGATCTCTATCAAGAGAGGTCAAAAGGGGATGATTTTTACTAATTTACTGATTTTGGGGTTTATGACTTTGTGAGAAAGACGAGAAGAAAAAGAGTGAAGAAAAAAATGTAAAGGTTGGACTTTGGAGGAATGAAGGCTAGAATGTGTGGGTATTGGATATGAGATTGAAGGTTGAGATAGAAAGGTTAGGAAACGGGTGAAAGCCAAAAGAAAATAAAGACTTCTAAAAAAAATGAAATAGAAACTTTGGAGGGATGTTGTGAGTGAGTGTATATGATAAATTGGTGGGCATTAATGCTAGCTGAAGGGTATGTTTAGAGGGTGTGAATAGGTGAAAGAAAATAAAAATTTTAATAACTTTGTTATAATATTGAATATAATTTTAGCTCAAGCAAAAATTTGGTACAAAATAAAATATGAATACATTGTTATATTTTTTAAAAAAATTATGAATAATTTTTTTTATAAAAAATAAAAACATAAGGTGTTATAAATTACTTTAAAAATCAAAATAAAAAAAAAAATGATGACCACAATTATCTCCGTTATCTCCATAATCGCGATAAACGTAATGTAACAAAAAACGTGACTACAACTGCAATTTAAATCTTTACCTTTACACAAGAACTAGCATGTTACACTACCTTAAGATCATCATCATAGGTTGCAACAAAAGTCCATAAATCTAATCTCTCAATTCAAACCACTAGTTTCAGACCTTTTTTCTATCATAGAATCAATCTAAAAAGGTATTTCACAATAAATAAAGGCATTTTTTATATAACAAAGTCCTAGTGAAAAACCTTATGTCCGACCCTATCAACATTACTCTTCCACAATCTTCATACTTGCACATCCATGAAAAACCACCATCCCCAGCTTATTGCATACATTACCTAAACCATAATGTACAAGAACCACCCTTGCCACGCATTATTAACAACCATACATCCACTATATCTCTACATAGACTACCCACACTCGAAACCTAACCACTATCATAACCCAAACCCCATACCCATGACCTTTATCTCCATAACACCCAAACAACACCATCGTACAAAAAACAACCTATCCTTACTAGACTAAAAATAACTTGAGAAAATCCTACAAAAAAACAAAATGAGTTTTTTGGCTTTAAACCATCAATCTAAGATCCCACATCCACCTACTAAAAAAAACAACATAAAAACCTAGTCTATTAGTTATATCTCCAAAAGGAATCGTAAAAAAAAAAAAAAAGCAACTTAAAAGCCAAGAAAAGGGGGAAGTTTCAATTAGGGATTTTAAAGGCATTTTGGGACTTGAAACTCAATGAAAAGAAAGAACTAGAAAGGAAAAGAAAACATAATTGGAAGCAGCGAAATTTGGAATAGCAAAAGAAGAACTTTTGGATGATGAAATCGTGACTTTTAAAGTTAGATCTAGGATTTTAGAAGGTGTTTTAGGTAAAATCAAGTTGGAAAACGAAAAAAAAAGGGTCAAAAAGAGTTTTGGAGTGTTTTTTAATGATTTTTCGATGCATTTGGACAACAGCATAGAAAGTTGTGGTTAATCAAAATTTAGGTTTTGGGGTTTTGAAGAGGTCGACCATTTGGGTTTTTGAGAGAAAAAGATTTTTTTTTAGAGAAAAGAGTGGAAATGAATTAAAAAAAAGATTTTATATCATTAAAAGAAAAAAAAAAGATCTACACGTGGATGTGACCTACATTCGAAGCCTACATCTTGACCCGTTCCACATCAACAAAGTCTTAAACTGAATCGGATCACTTTAAACTATTTTGAACCACATCGAACATCTTTGAACAAGCTTCTAGACGTCTCAAAATCACTCAAAATTGCATCAAACTGTGTTAAACCACTTGAACCACTTTGGACCTTAGATCAATTCTTAACTAGCCGAATTTGGTAAATTTTCATGCATGTTCTATAGTTTTTAGGTTTTGCTTGTTTTATTCCTATTTTTATATTTGTGTTAATATTTTACAAATTAGATTAGTTAATGATTTACCCATTTTTTTAAATTTTATGCTTAAATAAAAGTAAAAATAAAATAAATAAATAAAATATTTAATCAAATCCCTTGATAAAATAATTTAATTTCATCCTAGAAATTTAATAAATTTGGGAATAAAAAAAATATCATCTAAGTAATAAAATTTTAAGGAATCCTAAATGTGCAATTGGAAAAATCATTTTAAACTCGATTGAAATGATGATGAATTTAAAAAGAATTTTATTATTAAAGTTTAATATTTATTCCTTTTTAAAAAAAGATAATAATAAATAAGCCAAAATTAAAATAAGAAAATAATGATAAAATAGAACAAATTAGTGAAAATCTTTTTAAATTTTACTAGAATGATAGCGTATTTAGAAAATTTTCAATTACCATGAATATTTATTTTGAAACAAAAGCAAAAGATGAAAATGAAGCAAAATAATTAGATAATTAGAACTTTAATTTAGGCCTTATCCATAAACAATAAAAATAAAAAAATAATAATACATATGATTAACTGGCTTGATTCTCTTTTTAGTGGGATAAATGAGGATCTCGATCAATGATAAATTCTAAAAAAATTATAAATGTATAACTTTTTAAATGAGATTTTCTTTTAAATTTTGCCAATATTAAAAAATTTAGAAAAATAAAATGGAAATATTTTTAATATCAAGGGCTGCATTTATTCCCAAATAAAAGAAAACAAAGAATGTATAAAAAATTATTAAGAGATTAAAAATATTTTTTTTTTATAAAACTTAAGAAATTAATAGTCAATAATAGAAATGGTTTACTAGATTTAATTATTCCATCATGAAAACGTTGTAAACTTGAGAATAAATGAAAATCATCTCAATTGTGGAATTTTAATATGTCATAAAAATGTAAGCTTCTACAAATTTTTTAAATGTGAAAATTAGTCCAAATTCTACTAGAGTGATGAAGAATTTGGGAAATTAAAAAATTTTAACACCAATTGTTTACATTTGTTCCCGAACAAGAAATAAAAAATAATAATAAAGAAAATAAAAGAAAAACAAATAATAAAAGTTCAGGAGATGAGTCTTACTCCACATTATCACCTTATCCATATCGTAAAATTTTAAATCTCAAACCATGATTTTTAACCGATGATGAGATTTTATAAAAATTACAAATGAGTGATTTTTTAAAGGATTTTGAGGAGAGATAATTTATGTAGTTTTTTACAAAATGATGAAACATTTAGATGAAATCTCAATGTCGAAGATCATCTTTATTTTTCTTAAATAAAGAAAAAATAATAGATTTAATCATAATTAATTAATTAATTAAGAAAAATAAAAAGGAAAATAAAAACAAATAAGTAGAAAAAGGAATATTAGAACATTTCATAAAACAAAATGAATTCAACAATAGAGTCTCTTTAAGGAAACAAATGAAATACTTGAATGTTTTTTAGGTGAAAAAACTTCTAAGAATTTTACTAAAATGATGGAGGGTTCTTATGAAAATTTCAATATTTAAATAAGTAAATTGAATTAAAAATAAAATACTATTTAATTGAGATAATTTTAGGATAAACACAAAGACTAATCGATATCATCCTTTGACGAGTATGTTAAGATGTTAATTCTTCTTCACGTATAACTATATATCTAAACCTAACTTTGCAATGTAAGAGCAAACCCTATCCTTTTTAAAGAAACTTTAGTTGAGCTTTGGATCTTTTAAAAAAGAATAGATTTAATTTGGTGATCAATCATACTTAATCAAAAAAATATTGGTGGTAATTTTTCTCACCTCAACAATCAAGTCTTAGACTGATAGAATATAACATATGTGGGTCTTCACAAACACAAAAGTCAAATCTAATTTTAGATTAAAATAAGCTTGAGCTAAATTGGAAAAAGTTTAGACAAGAATTGTTTTTAATAGTTCGATTCAAATTAATTAGAATAGAGTTGTTTTGATAATTTGATTCAAATTGATTTGAATTATTTAAAAAATATATATTTTTTGAAAGACTTGGAACAAAAGAGGTATCTACACCCATTTCTTTATTTAAAATCACAAAGTTAGGACTAAAAAAAATCCATTATTATCTAGTTATAAACTAGGGAATGAAGGATGGGAATTAGGGTCCACTTTTCTCTCTTGGCAACAAATAGGGTTCACTTTAAAAACCTATTTATTTGACATTAAATGGATATGTAAAGCGGAGTAACTATAAAAATTTATTACCGAGCAATTGTCCAGGGGTAGCTTTGTCTAATCATACGGCTATAAATTGCCTTGTCCCAAACCACTACTCCAGCCCTTTCACACAACAAAATTTTTTAAGAATTAATGGAGAAAGCAGCCAAATTTGATGATTAAAACCACCTTGTTTTCAACGCCCAGGATCCAGAATTCCCTCCTTAACAGGTACTCATTTAACCACCCCCACCTCACAAACTTTCCTTTTATTCCCCTCATTATGTGTCCTGTAGCCTACCAGAAAAATGTCTTCTTCACATCCTATTGTCCTCACCAGCTCCCATGATGCTCCCATCACTGCCTTTGACGCTGCCTCTGGTGACTTTATTAGTAACTTCTCTGGCAGCAGAACTCCATGCCATGGCCTTGCCCTTGTTGGAAATACATTCATTGCTGCCTCTCATATATCTCCAGAGACAGCTTCTGGCTCTATTCATCTCTACAATTGGTGGTCATCAACAGCTATGCACAATTTTCTTGTTCCTGAACCTGTTGCATCGTTAGCAGCTAGTCCTAATGGCTTGTATTTATTTGCTGCTGGCCTTTCAGGTTGTATATATGCTCTCTCAGTTCCTTCTGGGGATATCCTCAGATCATATTCTGCACATAACAAACCTGTATCTTGCCTCAAAATAAGTGAAGATGGATCTCTTCTCATATCAGGTGGTGATGATGGTACCATTGCTTTTGTTCCAATCTTTCAAATTGTTGAGGCATCGCCTGATGAGAGTTCCAGCAGCTTGATGATGCAGAGATTTGTTGCACATGATGATTCAGTGACTGCAATAGTCTCTTGTTTGGTACAGTGCAACTCATCTATAATATCATGCTCTATGGATTGCACAGTTAAATTTTGGAGACTGTTGGATAGAGCAAACTTGAGAACAGTGACATTCCCATGTGAAGTTATGAGGGTAGCATTGGATCAAATGAAGACAGAATTCTTTGCTGCAGGCTCTGATGGATTCATCTATAAGGGATCAGTAAATGTTGGAAGCAAAAAGCTGGTGAATCAAGGCCGTGAATTCGTCAGATTGCCTCAAAAGCATGAAGGAGGAATTGTATCTTTGGTGACAATGAATGAGCAGAATAATTTGGTATCAGCCTCCGAAGATGGAATGGTTTATATTTGGGAAATTGAAACAGGTCAGGTCATTATGGGACTTGGCAATGATATGGGATGCATTAGTGATATGGTGGTGGCTAATGGTATGGAGCAAGGCTTTAAAGTTGGTAAAAGAGCTAACAATTCTTGTGATGGATATGGTGGATTACACAGGGCGAAGCTCAGCAGGTCATTGAAGGATACGTTAGACTTGGAAGATGTGTTAAGGGTGGCTACAAAGGACAGGAGAAGAGCCATTGACATGCTTGAGTCTGCAATTTCAATGTATGAAAGGCTCTTGGAGCTCATTCTCAAGGAAGCGAAGAGAGGTCCAGGCAGCAACAGTAAAAAAGAAAAGCATGGCATGTAATTGTAAAACAAATATAAGAGACATTGCTACTAAACTTCTCTATGCAAAACAGACAAATGAAGTAGTTCAAACATGCTTTCTCTGTTTTTTGTTGGTAAGTTTGTATCTGTCTGAAAGTGCTTTTTTGCGTGTTGGAGCCAGCAATTGCTGCATGGTTCTGATGCAATTCTACAAATAAAAGTTCCAACTAAAACAACAAATGGAATTTGATGAGACGTTAGGAAGGTTACAATTAAATGTGTTACTAACTAAAGAATGTTAAAATGCCAAGATAAAAAATATTTAGGACTAGGACAAAAGAAGTGTCTCACATTTAGCTTGTGGCATCCATGTTTCTCTCTCTGAGATGATTGAATTTTTCCCCTTATTTCTTTTTCGTTTTTAATTTTTAATGATGGATTCTTATTTGGTAAGGAATTTGAATATAGTCATACAGTATAAAGGGTTTATTGGCCATTGGGTTTAATTATTATTTCAACACAACAAACTTTGCTTATGATTCTATCTGTAGAGGTCTTTTGGAGCCCAAATTAACTATTAGATTTTCAATCCATTAATCAAGTATTATGGGCTTTTAAAATTATTTTTGGACTTTAATTGATTAATTGGTCTTAAGCTTGATTTGGGTCTTAAACCCATATATTTTTCTTTTTTTTTTATTTATTTATTATTTATTTTATTTCTATTTATTAATTTGGAAAACTAAAAGAAAGTGGAAGAGAGTCTGAAAGCGTTTTGAGTTTATTAAAGCGTTTGGGATTGAATCACGGATGAATTTTACTTAAAAATAATAACAACAAAAAATTTTGTTGAACCGAAACTCTTTGAATTTATAATTCTTTTGGAATAAAGATTAATCCCTTATAAACGTAGTCCGCAATCAACTCGAATGAAGGGACCATTAACAAGAGCAAGTTGCAGGTACACTGTAAACATGGCGGCTCTTGTGTTGGCAGAATAGGGGTTTTTGAAGCATTCGGATTTAGTCTTTTGAGAGTTCTGCTGGGTTCTACCTGGGTTTTTTCCAAATTACATTGAGAAACAGAAATCGACATGAAGAACAAGAGGGTTTCTATTTTCTTTATTTTGGGAACTTTCGGGCTTGAGAAATTTGGGGCTTTGGGACCTACGAACACAATAGGGATGAAGACAATTCAAAGCAAAAATTGCAGCGAGCTTTGTTTTGGGGAAATTCTAGGATTATTATTATTTTTTTTTTAGAAGAATGTTAAAATTTTTTAGTAAGTGGGTTATTATTAAATGATTATTTTAATTTTTAATAAAATAGATTGATAAATTTAATTTTAATATGAAACAAGTATAAGAGTTTGTATAGTTAATTGTGATCACTTATGAGTTTTATACATTTTATTAGGTTAATGTGATTTAGTGATTGTGTAAACCTTTAATATGATAAACCTTTAGGGAGGTTTTTGGATTTTACTAATATTTGGCTAAGATCCCTTCTTATGATATCTACCCAAACATTAGGAAGAAAGAGTGAAGAGGAAAACCTAATCTCTTTTAAGAAATTATTGTTACTTTTATTTATTAATTATGATTGCTCAAATAGGTACATAATGTGATTGAATTTGATGTTCTAATATTCACATATGATTATTGAGATTTAGAATTATACTTATATGTGGTATCATGTGATATTAGAATCTAAATTTATGTTTTATTTTAATTTTAATTTCACATAAAATTAAGTTTTAGGTAAAATCTTATGATTATTACAATCCAATTTTCTAATCTTGTTTTTTTAAAATTGATTTGATGCTTCTATTTCTCTTCAAACAAAGAACAAAACCATATCAACAGTTTCTGATAATTCATTTTGTAGAGAAAGAAATCAAGATTTAAAGATTTTGGTTCAAAATAAGAGCCAAATTTAAAATTTCTTTAAAACATCAATGTTTTATATGTTTTAATTTGAATTAGTTCTTAAATATTGTTACCCATGTGTTGAATGAAAATATTAAATTATCCATAAAATATTAAATATAATAAAGTATAAAATATAATAAAATATTAAATATTAGATTATCCATAAAATATAATAAAGTATTGAATGAAAATATTAAATTATCCATAAAATTCAAGACACTTGATTTGAATATAATAAGTTACTTATTGATCTAGTAAGATACATCTGATTTAAGTGTCTCACAAGAAAAGATCATATTTATAATGATTCATTGAGATACACTTTAATTATTAGTGTCTTACACAAGATCAATCAATTTTTTAATGATCTAAAGAGATAAATCATAGTCAAATATCTCGCAATAAATGGTAAAAATACATACACTCAATTAAATATGCAAACTAAAATTATGAGCAATTTCAATATCTTGGTATAAGAAATATAATTGGTTATTGTGGGTGTTTGACTACCAAAGTGGCTTACTCATTAAGAGTTGCAAGATTTCTCATGTGTAGAATAGGAGTATTTTTAAATTACTTTATACAATCTTCAACCCAAAGCGGGTTTTTCTAGTTTCCGGCATCGGCACCGACGATCGGCAGAGACGGTGACAGTTGATCGGGTTCTGGGCTGGGGTTGGTTAGTTTCTTGGATTTAATTGAAAAAAGGGAGTTTCTAGAGAGAGGTTAGAGAGAATTGTGGAGAAGAAAGAAGAGGTGGAGAAATGAAGAAAAAGTAAAACTAGTGATTTTTAAAGGAACTCAAAACAACGCCATTTTGAGTTAAAAATTTTTCATGACTTGCAGCTTGATGCAATGACGGGCACTTATACCCGGTTGAGATCCGACTCGTATGTCCTACTTCCTCTTTTTTCTTTCTTCTTTTGTTTTCTTTATTTAGTTTATATTTGTTTTATTCATTTACTAATTTCATTCTTATCTTATTTGTATGTTTATGTGTTTTTCATATGTACGTGTGCTTTTTTTTTTTTGAAGAAATCACTGCTATCATTAATGGAAAGCAGTTTCTTTTCTATTACAATATCACCAATTTCATTAGGGTATTTAGCCTCCCAAGAATAAGAGTTCATACATTCAACAACCATTTTCGCTTATCTGTGTGCTACACCATTAGCTTTTCAATGAATATGGACAATCTTCCATTCTGGAATCTGCAATAAGTCCTTCCTTATATCCTTCACCAGATTTCCTATAGCAGACATGTTTTTTTCATTATACTTACTTGTTTGAATAACAACTCTAAGTGCATTCCCATCCATCGTGAGTCTCTAGAAATCCATACAATTTGACATGTAAACTCTAAGTGCCCTGTCGCTGCCATTTCTTCTATGATCTCTGGATCATGTAAACTCTTTATAATTTGACACCTTGCTCCGAGCACCTCCCCTTCACCATCTTTAGGGATGATACCGATTCCCACCACTTTCCTTTCCTTGTCCACAGCTCTATCATAATTAATCTTTACTGTTGCTTCTTTCGGCGCATGCCATTTCGATGTTTTCTTCATTTGGTCCATTGGTTGTTTATCCTGTGCTCGTTGATACTCTTCTACATACAGGTTTACAAATTCCACTATACGTTGCCCTAATCTGCTCACATTATTCTTCACAGCCTCGTTCCTATTTCCCCAGATAGCCCAGCAATATAAAACCAGCTTTCCAAAGCTCTTTACGTTCATGTTTTTTACCATGACAGTCACCCATTCTTTCAAGTCTGATGCATGCAGATTTCGCCACTCTCTTGTTAGCTTTGCATGGTCCCAAACCTCCTTTGCGTAAAAGAACTCCTTGATTGCGTGCATAGTTGTTTCATTCTACATGTTGCATCTTGGACATACAACTTGGTCTCTGATCCTTCTTCCCATCAGTACATCGTACACTAGAAAAATATTATGGCAAAGTCTCCATGCAAAAACCTTTACTCTCCTTGGTAATGACAGTTTTCAAATTTGATTCTATATAGATGTATTACTATTGGTTCTCTGTTCAAAAGATCGTTTCCCCTATGTTTCGCCCAGTTCTCGTGAAACCAGGATATCGTAACCTGTCCGTACACTGTATTCTCCATCCTTCGTATGGTACCACACTAGAATATCCCTCTGTCTGTTCCTTTCAATTGGTATAGATCTTATCTCCGTAGCCCACTCGTTTGAGAACCACTCAGTGAGTTTATCCTCCTTCCGTTGTATAAAGTCGTAGTCAATTAGCTCACTGACTCTTTCTTCTCTCGTTGAAAAATTGGTATTTGGATGAGAATGAAATTGTTGCCCCATGGTACCCACTTATCCTGCCATACTTTTATTTTTTTCTCCATTATCGACTTGCCATCTAAGCCTATGTTCTAACAAACTTCTACCTAGCCGGATGCTCTTCCATATATAAGATGGTAACCTCACTAAGTCGGCTTCCAGGAAGATTTTATTGGGGAAGTATTTCGGGCTAAGTACTTTATACACAAGGGAGTCTGTGTTTTGTACAAGTCTCCAACCTTGTTTCGCTATTAAAGCTCTGTTGAACAATTCCATGTCATGAAAGCCTATGCCCCTTCCCTTTTCCCCATACACATTCTTTTCCATGACATCCACTGAATTCCCCTTTTCTTCATTGACTGTTGCCACCAGAAGTTACGAATGGCCATAACTATCTCATTATATAAACCTTTGGGGAACATAAAACTCGACATGTTGTAAAAGGACAGATTGTAGCACCGATTTTATAATGACCTCTTTCCCTTCTTGTGAAAGCCATCTCTTACCCCACTGCCTGATTCTTCTATCTATCCTTTCTAAAATGCCTTTGAAAGCCTTTTTCTTCCCCCTGCCTATGAACATTGATAAGCCCAGGTATTTTTCTAGACATAAAATGACTTGTATACCAAAGCTGGCTTCTATTGCTTCTACGGCATTAGCACTTGTATTCTTACTAAAAAATGGGCCCGACTTATCGTAGTTAATCTGTTTTCCCGAACCTTCCTCGTATAACTTTAGCAAGTCCCTCACAAATTTGCATTCCTTTTGGTTTACTTTGAAAAAAACCAAGCTGTCATTTGCAAAAAATAGGTGAGT